AACCACCACCGAGACACTGCATGCACGCGCGCTCCCTCCTCAGCTCGCAGCGAGATCCGGTAGAGCGCAGGACGCCCCCAATATGCAGAGTGCATGCAGTCAACCTGCTGACGACCTACCTACCGTCCCCCCTCCCGAACCCGTTCCATTGGGTAGGACGTGGAGAAAGTCACATGAAGCAACCCAGGAGAATGGGCTAGGCGGCGGGGACGCGGCACAAGATCTTCTACTTGCTCACACGGAAAAAGGGTGACTCTGTCTCAGAATGTCTCATATCGAAGTCCTGAAGAGGTGTGTAGATGATGCCCTCCCGGCTGCTCAAACGTCGCCCCCAAGGAAATCTCCGCCGCCCCCTTAGGATACCACCCTCTCTCCCCCCGTTCTCTTTTTCCACTTGGGGTGCCTTCTTTCTTCCCTCCCCTCCCTACCCGGCCTCGTTCTCCGGATTGTGTCTTATCTCCACGAGATTTGCCTTGTCATCATCTTGATTGTGCATGTGGCATCGTGGAGCCTCCTTGTTCCGATGGTCGACCAGGAGCGGCCGCTTACACGTGTGAACCCCAGGGGGGAGGAAGGAAGGCTGACTGCTTACCAGATTCTTCCCTCCCAAGCGGGCGGGTTTTGGAATGCTTACGGTCTCGTCCACTGCCGAGAAGGGCTCCTGTGGCAAGGTAGAAGGGCAAAAGGGCCAAAAAGACGAGGGCACCGACGACGGGGCGGTGATCACCCAATTGTGACCAAGCAGCGAGCACAAACCGATATGTGATAGCTCAAAATAAGCAAAACAAGCACCCAAGGCGAAATAGAACGGGAAGTCAACATCCCGGTGAGATCTAGCTATGCGACAGCCCGCAGCTCTACCCTATACGCTTGCCCTGCCTCCTCTAGCTTGAGAGTTGGCCATCTCGTGAGGCGTACACGGCACGCCCTTCGGTGCCAGTGGCGGGGGAACATTGGTGATAGATAGAGTTTGGGGTTGTGCCTCATCGCCTCGTGTGTATTCCTAACCCCTCCCTCCTTCGCGCACTAGCGGTCTTGCACAGAAAAACCAAAGATCTTCGTATGTTTGCTCCATGGACACCCAAGAGGGGGACTGGACAGGCTCGTAAAGCGGAACGGCCCCCATCGTTCTACATACATGCCAACACCCCTCGCACGGGCTGCCCCAGGTGCCGTTGGCCTATGCGTGGATCCGTCAGATTGAACAAGCTTCGAGCCTCGGACAACGGTCGCGCAAGTGTGACCAAGATCGCCTCGACCCGCCCGCCTAGTCTTGAGTCAATCTCATGGGGGAGGAGGAGGAGGGGGGCGTTGGTTGAGAGAGACACGGAGGGGACATTCCAAACTACATCATCCAGAGACAAGACAAAAAAAAAACCCAAGACGTAGCCTGTCATACCGAAACATTATCACACCGTGGTGCAACTAGATAACACTATTTTTGGGTTCGTGGAGGGAAAAACACGAGGACGGAGCCTTAGTCGGACTAACGGGCAGTGCCACGTTGATCAACAAACTCTGTTCTTCGTTCTGACACGGCCAGGGGAAAAGAAACAGGGTTGGAATGACATCAAGACCATCGTGACCTGTCCGTGGCGCCGCATTCTAATTGATCAATGCGAAGATATCGGCCCGAGGAACCTTGAATGGCTGCTGGAATGTGGTTTCCCATTGACTAACATGAAGTCAACCGGTGTGTTTCTGGTGCCGGCAAGATTCAAGTCTGGCCGACGTCGTGACTCGAGCAAGGCTTCGTATAGAGATGGGCCGAATGCTCAGACGTACGGCATGCTGCACTTGAAGGGCGTATGCCAAACATATTTGAGGATGGGCTCGAGTGTTCACCTTGTTCAAGACGAGACATGACGATGTGCGCACATGATGCTCAGTCACTCGTAATCTAACCGGCTCGCCAGTGTATCGTATAATCAATGCCAAGTTAAGAAGGACGTATCGAACAAAACCTTAGCGTACAAACTATGCTATATACATATAGACGTTTTGTGTAAATGCCAATACTGTCTCCTAAGACTCCTATGACCGACGACACCACCCGGTTTTTCTCCCAAGCTATACCACCATACGTACATGCCATAGCAACCCCTCCAGAAAAGAGTCAAAACTCCCAAAACACCTCCCATGATATATTGCGCACACCGCTCTATGCTCAGCCAACGTGTCCCCTGGGCCCGCGAACTGGTTCTCGACCCTCACATTAAGCCTGATGACCTGTGAAAGTCATGCCTTCTGGCCATGTGCAACCGCGGGGAGGTTCTATGTTAGAGAGTGTTGAATGCCGTTCCCTCCAATTATATAAATGCTATTGTTGTTCGAAAGATGCTTCAAAAATTAGCACATCAAGCCATATGGCTCACCACTAATAATAAGTTGTCTGATCCATCTAAGTCTCTAAGTATTGGCCGACAGTCGTCACCGACAACTGCAGGTAATGGACAGAAGTAGCATCGCCTTCGCAGATGATACCACATCGTCCACTCAATACCAAGGAATTATGTATGTGGATGAGTACGCGGATATCGTATCATGCGCAAATAATACTTTTCGTCTTCCATCTTTGCGCCTGCCTCCTTTTTGCGACCCTTTATAACGAGAAGAGATCATAAAGCAACACAGTACTTTTCATTCGTGACCCCGTGGCTCGCCGCATTAATGCACCCATGTATTGTGATTATTATAGGGATTTTTTTGAACGTTGTCGGGTTCATAGGGCAGAAACACCGGTCGGGTTATTCTCCACAACATTATCGGAAAGGTTGATGAGAAGCTGGGCGAGGCATCTCTTAGTAGCTGCATCGTCACGGAGAACTGACGAGAATGTTGCGTCACGTAGAGGTTCGGGGAGACACTGTCGCAAGGCCTCACGAGCGCGAGCGTTGTCGCTGAGTCTATGTGGCAACAGTTAGCATCGCAGCTATAGGGTTATAATAGAGCCTAATATAGGCAGTAGCAACATACCTGAGGAAGCACCTAACAACATGCTTGAGGAGCCGGGCGGTCTGGGACTCGACAAGCTGGGCAACCATGTTGCTCAGAACAGTTCCAACCGCGTAGAAGCGCTCATATGTAGCGCAGATGTAGTTGAGGCCGTTATCATCAAGGAGTATCTTCTGCACAATGAAGATAGCCACCGTCTTGCTAAGCTCGGAGCCAGTCTCCATGATGCGCAGGCAGAGAGGGATGATCTCAGTGGTAAGGAGGAAGTTGATCACCTCCGAGGAGTCATTCTTGACCAGGGCACCAATAACACCCAAGCTGGTCAAACGGAGATACTCGAATGGACGAGACTTGGATGTGGTGTTGAGGAATGGATAGAGGAAGAGGGGGATATGAGCTGCAACCAAGGTTAGCACATCAGTCAAGGAAACGCTGACACTGCGAGGCGGCTCAACCTGACGTACCGTGAAGAAACAGAGTGCGGGTGTCGTTGTGTGAAGCCACGCACTGCAGCAACGCGAGGGCGTTACAAACTCGGTTGGAAGCGGCGGCTGTGAGTTGAGAAGGGTTGAGGAGTGTATAAACGGAGATGATTTCCTGAAGAAGAGAAGTCATTACACCTAGTAGCGCAGAAATCAAGTCAGCAACTATCCCCAAGCGCGTGTAGTAGAGTCCGAGATCGCCTACCGAATGAATGCCACAAGATCAAGGCCAGCTCAGGGACCTGTTCCCTCTTCTTACTAAGTTCCAAGAGGGCGGCCTCCCGCGTGGCTTCGTTCAGCAACTCAGCAATGTAGCCCATAGTTCGCCGGTTCTCCTCAGACACATTATCCCCAGCGGCGGCAGCCTCCTGGGTGGCCACGGCCAGGTTGTTGACGCTGGATTGGGCGTTCGCGTTCATGCGATTGTACTGCTGCTGCTGTTGCTGAGCGGCGGCGGCGGCGGCTTGCTGGGCATGTTGGTGATGGCCAGGCTGCTGGTGCATCCAAGCCGAGTCAGCCTGAGGGTTGAACTGATGGTGCCCGTAAAGGTGCGCCGAGGGCATCATCTTGGCGGCGGCGGTTGTTCGATGCATGCGCGGAGGTTGTGGAGATCACTGTGTGACTGTAGACACAGTTGCTGATATCGTCGGCGGCTTGGGGCCAATAAGCGGTCGCTGCTCCGTGGAACAATTTGACGTGGGGGTTTTTTTGCCCAAAAAAAAACGAACGAATTGTGCGCACGAGGAGGAATGAGGCTCGCCGGACAGTCGGTGACAGTCGTTCTGATTATTTGAAATGAAGGGAGAAACGCTATTAAGATCTCGCGTCGCCGGCGACGCAGCCAAGGCGTTCGGAGTTGTGTCGCTGCCTGCTGCCAGGAATCGCTTCTAACGAGAAAATAGGTAGGGGTTGCACGTCCAGCTTCGCAGAGCTCGCGCCGTGGTGGTGGATGAAGATAGTTGGTTGGTTGGAGGGCTTAGTCGAGCATGTACGGTTTGGCAGTGGGATGGAGTTGTTGCTGGAGGAGGGAGTCGCAACCCTCTCCAAGGCATACGGGGGCTGTGATTGGCACGATGGGTTATCCGGTCCACTTTATGGTGGAGTTTCTCTCTGGCCCCATTTTCACCTTTTGCGCCTGCCTCGAGCAAAGTCGAGGAAGGGGCGCCCGGCGGTGGAGTCGGGCCCTGGTCGGCTGTCTGTTGCTGCCCTGGCCGGGGGGGTTCACGATGGGATGCAAAGACACGGGCGGTGCATGCGAAATTAACAACTCTGATTTTGGAGCTACCCGATTATCCCTCTGTACGTTTGTTTGTATGTCGGTACGTAAGTATTATATACAAACTCTGCTGATCACAATGGCGATCGACCTCATCCGATCTATATGACTAATGCTACCCTTCGACAAAGTGCTGATGCCGCCAACAAAAAAACACGTAAAATATGAAAACGCTCCATGCACCCTTATACAAAACAAAGGCTTGTCTGAACTAATTATCTGTATGCGTCCCAAGACAGCCTGAAAGCCCCGGTTATTGTCTGATCCCATGAGCACCTGGCTTGCCCCTACAGCTTCAGCTCCTTGAGGATCTGGTCCGCCATGCTCTTGTACTGCCATGTGTTGCCATCTAAACGCTTGAATTGGATGCCGTGCAAAGACAGCAAAGGCACTTTGACGATGAAGATTTCGAATTCCAGGATCATGTTGCCTCCCAGATCGCTCTGGACTTGTGTGCTGGTCTCTCCAGGAGTCCTCTTTGGTGTTGCCCCGTTCCTTCGGGGAATGCTATCAATCGAGGTTTCTGAATTTGAATAACTGCGATCGCGGTCTGACCGGCCTGGCGTTCTGGGCGTCGTTGGCGGTCGTTCCGCATCACGGCTGTCATCCTCTCCCCTCCTTAAACCCCCAAAGCTGAACCGTCGCCTGTGCCCTGGTGTCTGGGCGGGGCTGCCGGGAGGGTCTTGGATCTTATTGAGATCGATGCTGGGCGAGTGCTTGCAGCTGAAACCTCCCTTTATTTCTGTATAATCGACATTGAGCTGCTTCAGGACTCGCTTAATATCGGTGCGAATTGCTGGGACAGACTTCCCCGAGGTTGTAGACACACTGAACAGGCCCTTGAGGAAGACAGGCTTTGCAAGTTCTGCATCGTCTAAACGTTCGGTTGAGACACCACTCTGCTCCTGTTCCATATCTGTCTCCTCCACCACATTGGATGACTGGGCTGCTTCCCTGCGCTGCCGTCGCTGTTGAATGCTTTCACGTCGGGCATGGCCGAGTGACTTGGCTCTCAAAGCAACGGACTTTGAATGCCCGTGGCCTCGTTGGTTGGGGGTATCTGGCTCATTCAGGCCGGACTGATCCGACCCGCTAGTTGGGAGTGGTTCTTTGGGAACCCGTGCCGATTGGTGCCGTCGCACCTCAGCTGAATTGACACTTGTAGATCTGCCGAGACCTGTTTTCCGGGATTCTCTAATACCGCCAGCAGACATCGGGGGGCTGAGAAGCTCCCTATGCTGAGGCTGGCTGCTGCCAGACCGGAGTGGTGGCTCACCGTTATCATCTCTCTCACGGCGTCCACGGCGGATGCTGAAGCTCTTCCTAGGGGCAAGTGTGGGAGTCTCTGCAGGAGAGTGAACTTGAACAACAGGAGGGTGGGAGCGGTCTTTGTCAAGCCGCTCAGGCTCCTTACGTCTGCGTGTGCTAAATCGCCTGAGCAGGCCGGCCGCGGTTCCTTCCTTCTTCTGAGGCTGTTCCTTAGGCTCAGGCGGCAGCAAAGCGGCAGCCTTTGCCATTTCTGGAGCGTCATCCTCGCCATGGGTACGAGCCCGAGGCCGGCTTCGACCCCCAGTGGGCTTCTCGCCACGCAATTCATACGAAGTAGAGTTTGTGTGCGCTTCTTGGGGTGGCGCTATTTCTGGTATTGAGGTTGACGATTCCTTCTCTCGGTTGCGCTCCTTCTCCCGCTCCTTCTCCCGTTCTTTCTCCCGTTCTTTCTCCTTTGCAAGAAGGCTGGCTGGCGGCGTACTCTCTGCTCGCTCGCGATCTTGCTTCTCCTTTACAAGGTAGTATATTGACAGAAGAGGGCTGAATGCGTTGAGTGGATCGTTTCCGATCTGAAGAGCCTCAGAACTAGGACCAGTGAGTGTATCACGGCTGTTCTGGGAATTTCTTCGCTTGTAAAAGTCGAAGCCAAAGCCTCGCTTTTTCTCGGCTTCCCTGCTTGGTTGAGGGACGTCCTTCTCTCGCTCGTACATTTTCACGGCTCGTTGATACTCCTCGGACTCAACGATACGCAATAGCTGCGACTTGATGTGTTCGGGTGAGCCAAAGTTGAAGCCCTGCATGGCATGAATAACCTCGGACTCCAGAGGGGTAGTCAAGGGTTCACGGGGGGGCAAGAAGTTCTCTGGGGGTCCGTTGAAGCCCTTGACCATCCATGGATGTTGCATAACTTCCTGCATCGTGGCTCGAGCCTTTGGGTCCGTCACCAGCATTCTTGAAATGAGGTTTTTGCATTCTAGGATCCAGATTAGCAGTTATTCCAAAAATGCAGACGGACCTAGCTTGGGAGAAACTCACCAGTGGAAAGCCAGCTGGGGTAGTCGACGATTCCCTTCTTAATCTTGGCATGCAGGGCTGGCATGCTCTGGTCATCGAATGGTACCTTGCCACAAACCAGAACGTACAAGACGATGCCGAAGCTCCAGACATCTACTTCAGGTCCCGTGTAAGCTCTCGCTTGAAGTAGCTCAGGGGCGGCAAAGTAGAGACTGCCGCAAAAAGTCTTTAGGTGGCCACGGGGAGCGAAAAGGTTGCTGAGGCCAAAGTCGATAATCTTGATATCACCCGTCTTGCTGATTAGAATATTCTCGATTTTCAAGTCTCGATGGACGATACTATTGCGGTGGCAGTAGTCGAGCGCACTCGCGATTTGGCGAGAGAACTTGCGGGCTTGCTTTTCCTTGAGCTTGCCGTGCGAGATGATGTAGTCAAGCATCTGACCGCCATTGACATACTCAAATAGCATATACCAGTGGTAGTTTGTACGGACAACATCCCGAAGTCCACAAATGTGGGGGTGGTTGAGGAGGGTGACGATAGCTGCCTCGCGTGCAGTACGAATCTCCTTGGACTGGTCGGCGCGTTCCTTATCGGCGCGGCTTTGGTGACCGTCGTCGGTGGAAGCTCGAGGAATGATTTTGCATGCAACCTAATGTTCATCGGTGATTAGTACGAGGCAGAACGAAGTGACGACAGCGATGGAATACTAACCTGTTCACCGCCATCCTCCTTTCGTGCCAGCTTCACCTTGCCCATGCTCCCAGCACCGATTGTCTTGCCCAGAATCCATTTCCCGGATTGAGTGGGAATGGTGGTTCTGGATCTGGACTGTTTGGAGGATGTGTGTATGGCTTCGGGCCCATCGCCATGGCGATGTGAGTGTGAGGTGCCGGTGTCGTCGACGGCGGAAGGCGCCATGTCGTACTGCTGGTGACGGTGATGTTGCTGCTGCTGCTGTTGTTGCTGCTGTTGTTGATGTTGTGGATGGCGATTGTCGATAGGTCTGCTGCCCGTTCGCCTATGGGACCGTGAGGAATCCGGGGGGTTTCTAGGCGAGGGTGGTGGTGCGCGGTCCCTGCTGGCACTGCGCCTGGAGTGCGAATGGCCTGATGCTAAGTTGGAGGTTTCGTAGTCATTGTGCGGAGACACGTAACTGGAAGGGCGAGAGGACGAGCTTGTGCGGCGGTGGTGGCTGCGACTGCTGTGTTGATTGTCAGGTGGATAATGACGATGGCTCTGGTTGGAGTTGTTGGAGTTGGCGTTTGCTGGCGTTGCAGGAGGGGGCCGGGAGGAGCGTGTCGAGTAGGATCTGGACGGGGGAGCTCGAGAGGGGGTTGAGTGGGAATCTGCTCCAAACGAAGCGGCGGCTGCTGTACTTGTCGTCATTTTGCTGGGTGTTGTCCTATGGAATGCTCCCGTACAGGTGGTCTAGGCACCTGGGGCGGCCGTCCTAGCGAGCCTGACAGGTACCTTAGTTTGGGTAAGCCCGGGGAGTCGGTCTGGTAAGGTCTGGTAGGAGTGGTGCCACGGTAGCGGCAGGGAGATGTAGCAGTGGGCGCAAGTAGCTGTATCGGTATAGGCACCTGCGGATTCGGACCCAGGAGGTTTCAGGGGGTCCCCTTCAGCACGTCAGGGCCGCTGGCATAGCTTTCGACCTGCGGGTTGTTTCGATGCGACAGCAGAGCTAAAGCGTCCGTCTATAGAAACAACAACAGCGTCAACTTCCCAGATAGCGCAGATGACTATTGATACCCCAGAATAATGCAGGCGCGCCGTGAAAATTATGTAGTGCGGTGCGGCCCGCGATGGGTGGATGCCAGACGCAAAAGGCGTGTTGAGCAAATTGAGCAGAAATGATGCAGCTCGCTCGGAAGCAGCCAGGCAGGGAATGGAGGCTGGTGCTGCTGGCTTGGGGTGAAAGCGACAGCCGGGTAAATAGGAGATAACTGATGGAGGAGGAGACTGGATGGCCAAAGCTGCGAACAACAGGGAGGTAAGTAGTAGGTTGGTTGACAAGTGCTCAATGAGCTGGATATTGGTTAATATTAGGGCTCTATTTTGGGGAGCCAGTCTGGCTGTCCGTTGCGTTGGTGCAAGCAAGCTGGGTAATTGCACTTGGCGATGGGTAAAGAGGTAGGGATGTCCCAGAGGTGGCAGGGCCAAGAACCTGGCTGTGCGACCCAATGACGACGAATTGGAGCGATCACTTTAACGAGTGGTGTGTGGCGTGTGAGGAATACCAGGCGCGCGGTAATATGAATATCAGGGCCTCTGCTGCTACCTGCCAGCCAGAAATGAACCTGTACAATAATGGAAGGATGCTCCTGTTGCTCCTTGAATTGAATGGGGGTTGAGTCGATAAAAGGCCCAGCTTAGCCTAGTAACTGGGCTTCGTTCAGCCCCAGATGAGCGCTGACATCAATGAAGTGCTATTTATCCACAGCGAGCGAGATTTGTGGAAATATGAGGACGAGGATGGGGCACACGAATTCTCGTGGAACTCATTTCAAGCCCGATACCATCCTTTGTAGGTTGTGTTACTGGTTGATAGCTACGACGGTCTCTTGCAACACTTGCCGTCTTTGGTTCCTCTGTTTGACCATTTTCAACATTGCTTTCTCTTTGTTCCCTCTTACCCCCCATTTCGGGGCTTGTGTGCGAGTTTGGGTGTCCATGAATCCCATCAATACTGGGAAAAGCGTTTGGAAGCCCAACCTAATGGAGCCGAGGCAGTTGCTCGTATCGAGCCGGATCTCATTTCAAATCGCACACTGGCCACATTGGGATCGTAGTTCCCACCATGATGAGCCCCCACCAAAACGCAACTGGGCGATGGTCAGTTTGAACAACTCGTCCTGGTCAATAAGCCTATTGCAATCTCAGGTGCGGTAAAAGGCATACTTGATAAAGGAGTCGATCAACGCCCCACAACAACACCACACATTATAATAGAGGGCACTAGAAAGGAACAAGAATGGTACCTATTCTTCCCAGAATCTACAAACTACCATTAAGAAGACTTAAGCTGGAGAGGAAGAGTTCACCAATCTTTACGCATACGCCAATGCTTGCTTCCCTCTTCGCAGACCCAAATATATTGAGATACCTGCCCATAGTCTATATCGAAGCCGCACGCTAAATCTGATTCTGACCTCCCTCGTTGGCCAACTAGATAACGTTAATTTTGGCTTGTCTTAATAAAGCTTCCATACATCTGCAACCTAAACTATACTACCTAGATCTCGTAACTTTGATGGGAAGGGCTAGCTCTTCTACGGTGGGTAACTTCCACTATCCTCGAACTCATAGAACACTGGTCAATATCATGTCAAACCTGAGTAGCATATCCTACCTAAGTTTACCCTCCAATGCTGGCATAGAATGGTATATTGAATCCTAGGGTCAAGTAGACTAGCGATTAGATTTCAATTAGCTTAAAGGCTGAGTAAAAAGAGGGCTGAACAATTTCATTCCATACGTAGGTCTGCTGTCTGCTGGCGGGTCTAGGGTGGGCTCACGTCGTAGAAGCATCTGACATGAGCGAGAGTCTGATTTAGAATGTGCCTTGCTTGCTGTGATGAAAAAAAATAGAATCCATCAGCGTACGGCATAAAGGCAGGGTGGATATTTCAAAGGATCCCAAGAACCACAGTCATTTTGTAAAAGAGAGATTGGTTTCGACATTACGTCGCAGCTGGAGGAGAACTGTCCCACCAACATGGTTCGCTTATCGATAAGAACGATCGACTTTCGAGATGAGCTGCTTGGTTGAGTCGCGACTCCGTAAACCATCGTCCGACAACCAGCTCTTCTTGGAAAGTGGCAAAACCTCTGCGAAAGCCCTTCATGATATACGCGACCATAACCAAGTAAGCGCGACGGCGGGCGGCGAGACTCCATGTCTTACAAACGATCACGAGCCACCTTCGAGGCGAACGGTGAAGATGCTGCACCATACGCAATCTTTGGAACACCCTTGCCAGACGAGGCTGAGTCCCGGGACGATGGCTCCTTTGTTCCCATATGGAAGCAGGAAGTGAGGGATGAGAGAGGCCGCAAGAGACTCCATGGTGCCTTCACTGGAGGCTGGAGCGCAGGGTATGTTGTTGTTGCCTGGCAAGATTACACATTACCTGGAACTGACGGCGCCATGCTAGGTATTTCAACACGGTTGGCTCGAAAGAGGGGTGGACTCCATCTACTTTCGTTTCTAGCCGAAGCAATAGACAGAAGGATAGAGCGGCGAAGCAACAACGGCGCCCAGAAGATTACATGGACGAGGAGGACTTAGCTGATGCCGCAGAGGCACAGAAGCTCGAAACATCACACGCTTTTGCTGGGATAGGCGGCGCAACACGAGATGGGACGGGCGCGGGCGGTTTGGCGGGACTCTTCAGGACCCAGGGGGACACAATGGGGCTGAAGCTCCTGCGCAGGATGGGCTGGAAGGACGGGCAAGGCATCGGACCAAAGGTGCGGCGAACAGCCCGGCTTGATATGGCAGGGGGGAAATCGGCTGCGGATGGCGAGAGCTACATGTTTGCCCCCGACGACGTACCGATGATTCAGTTCAACCGCAAGACAGATCGAAAAGGCTTAGGGCATCAGGGCGAAGCGAAACTGAACGACTCTGCACGCGGCAGCGACGAAGGCAACGAAGACGATGATGAAGACGGCATGCCTTCGAAACAAGATGGCAGGTTTTCGCTTTTCTCTTCTCGAAATGCAAAGGCTAAGCCGAGCCGGACTGGCATCGGGGTCGGGGTACTTAATGACGATGGTTCTGATGGAGAAGACCCCTACGAGATTGGACCTAAAATCAAGTATAGTCGTGTTATCGGAGGAGACAAAAAGAAAAAGAAGAAGCCCTCTTCTTCTGCCAATCCCACATTAGGGAACGCCCCTGTCTTCGTGCCCAAGCTCGCCAGGGCTGGGAATAGTCTGTATCGATGTCACGATGGACGCTTGCCTCTGGACGGGTTTGTCTTGGCCAAGCTCACTGAAGATATTGCAGGGCTCATGTCAAAATATGCGCCGCCGCCTGTCCCTGAAGGTTGGATATCGTCGAAGAAGAAAAACCAAGAGGGTGGAGGGGCTAGCGAGGCCTACAGATCTACAGCTGACGCAGCAAAGGCATCTTCACTTGACCCAAGATCACGCGCGGCTTTGTTAGGGGAGAGTGTACTCCCAGGGAAGTCTGTCTTCGATTTCCTCTCTCCGGCCGCCCGGGACAAGCTGGCTACAGGGTCAGGGAAGACGAACTTGCCGCCTGGCCTTGGAGAGGTTCCCGAGGAGTTTCGAATGTCCGAGAAAGAGAGACAGGAGATGTTGTGGAATCAAATTCCAAAGCTGGATCATCAAACAGCGAGAGCAGCACTATCGAGGAGTGCCGGAGGACCATACGCCGACGATGAGTCGAAAAGATCGCGCTACAAGGCCTACCTTGAAAGTCAAGCCAGTCCGAATGCGCCTCCCCCCACCAAGGCGCAAGGTATGGATGATGATACCTTCTTCAAAGAGGCAAACGAATTCTATAACTGCGCACGGATCTTCAAGCCTATGACGGGCTTTATGGCATCCAGATTTACTACAGCGAAGACGACCGCGCCGTCCACCTCTGCGTCGAAGGAGCAGGGCGAGCAGCTCCTGTCCAAACCAGCACCAAAGGTAGTTGACCCCGCCGAGGAGGCAGCTAAGATGGGCATGTTTGGAAGCATGACCAGATCTAGCCAATTGTTCTACCCAACCAGACTTCTGTGTAAGCGGTTCAACGTAAAAGCGCCTGAGCACTCTCGGCCGGACAAGATGGAGGAGCCGGACAAAGCACAGGCCCCACAGAAGAACTGGGCGGTCTACGAGACACAAACGGCAGAGCCAGAGGTCACACAAGATAGGAATGGTCTGCCAGTGCATCAGCCAGCGGCAGCGGCAGAAACGAGGAAGCTGTTGGAAGAACCTGGCCGGGTTGATCCAGAGAGAAGCGAGGCGATCGAGGGGAAGACGGCGCACGCCGATGTACTGAAGGCCATTTTTGGAGACAGCGACAGCGAATGAATTGAATACCTAGAGATGTAAAGTAGAACCATAATAATCAAAAGGAAACCATATTAAAGTACCCTCGCAAACCAAGGCTGCGTGCGAGCTGCTGAGAGCCTCCGGCGCGACAGCCCAGGCGTGGGACAGGGCTCCTCCAAGCAGATTACAGCGATTATTTCGGTGCTGGGTTGGGCGGCTAGTGTCGACCGGGGTGGGACCGTGGCGTGCTATTGGCCGGGCAGTCTCAAGGGTCGTACCGCTACCACCCCAGAGTGAACGCTACTTGTTAGGCTCCTGGGACCAAGTCAGGGGGCCGCCGAGATTGTGCTGTTGCCCAGACCGAGTCGTCCATTGCCATCACATCACTCGCATCCATCAAAACAATTCATCAATTTACCGGCTTGGGGCGTCTCCACATCCAACACAATCTCCCGCTGCACTCTCATGCAAACGAGCTCGCCTTGCTAGTTACCCTGGTTGGATTCAGCTCCCCTAACGTAGCCCGCCTACCAACCACCAACGGACCACCCCCGACCAGCTCCGTCGTCTGCCGCTTCGCTCGAATGCTGCACCGCTTCCATCACGTCTGATCCCATCTCGAAGCTGTCAGGCCTACCGCGTTCTGCTACCGCCATCCCGCCATCCGCTGCATCAGCGCGCCAGCTGCCACCTACAGAAACCGTCACGTTGTCGGGAACACAGGACTCTCGGAACGGACCGTCCGCGGCCACGGACATTGTCGACGCCCTGAGGCAACACGCCCACGAATCCGATATTGATATCACTACCGACGACGAGGACAACAACCTCCTTGGTCGCGAGCAATCACCGCCGCCGCAGTACCCAGCCTCCGAGGCGCCTTCCTCCCCACGGCCTCCGCCGTTCTCGTCGCTCTTTTCACCACCACCTGACGACGCCGATCACCGCCTAGGAAAGCTCGTCGCCTCCTCGTCCGTCGCCGTCGCAGAAGGAGAAGCCTCATCTGCTCCAGCATACACCCCCTGCGAACCTTGGGATCCTGACCAGGCAGTTGCCAGGGCTGTTTCTGAGACAAAGACTGCGCTCCCAAGAGATACCAAGGGGCAGTCATCCAAAGATAACGACGCCGAACCTCCACCTGCTTATTCAGAAGGGGACAGTCCTCTTCTAACATTTTCATACGTCATGGCTGCTGCCGGAGGAGCCTCGAGTATCATCACTCAGGTCCAACAGGGTGGTCCATCCCTCAATGCCATTGGCGGTGAGTTGACTGACCCCCTTTCGATCAGGAATTTTGCACATGTGATATTATCGTGATAAATTGAAGGCTAACAAGATTGGATGGTAGATGTCGGTGCCGATGAAACCATTGCAATGGACCTACGGTAAGCGACTGCGAGACGCATCTTCAAAAGCCCGAATACATGCTAATGCTGTAAACAGTGGTACCAAATTTGTCTTGTCTCGCGATGAGCTGTTGACCTTGCCAGAATTTGTGCTCCTTTCCCTGTTCCCCAATGGCCTGTTCCCAGAGGGGCAAATGGGCGGACTGTCAGAGGGTGAAGCAGTGCAGGTTGATGTGAGTGCCCGAATAGCGTCATCTTGAAAAGTGTAATTCTCACATGTTTTTTCCCCCAGTACGACCCAGCCTCCCTTCAGTATATGTTGGACTTCTTCCGCAACGTAGCCCAAACGATCCCCGCTGAGTCTTCGCCGGGCGCATCGCAAGACGGGGATGTTGTGCCAATCGAGCCCCTGGGCGCCCGCGACGATTCGTCCAAGCGTGCAGGCATCATTGTGCTCCGCGAAGACCTCGACTTTTACGCCATCCCCCCCAAGCCTGAGATCACTCAGCTTGACATGCTTGAAGTCAAGCGCGCTGCCGCACGTGCGCTCCAGAAGCAGGATGGAATCTTTTCGGGACTGAAGAGGAGCGACGAACCAGGAACAACCGAGGCACACCTAATTGAAATGCTCACAGCTGGGTATGTCCCTCCTCCAATTGCTGTTTCTGTACCAGGCTTGGATTGCTAACCATCTTCCGCAGCGGCTTCAACCGTGAAGACCAATGGGGACACCGCGCTGGCGAACCCCACAAGGCGGTTATCTGCAGTCTGGCTCTGGCACGCCTTCGCAGCGATATCCGTGGCAACGAGGTCGGCAGCAACGCCGTAGGAATGGCACAGAAGCTTCTCCTCTTCTGGCGCAAGCCCGCGCGCAGATGCTGGTGGGAGGGTGTCGAGCTGGAGAATGTCGAGGGAGTGGAGGGAAAGCTCAAGGTATGGATCAGGCGAGTCTGGACGCTTGAGATGAGTGTGATTGGCCTGCGGTGAGTTCGAAGTCGATGAGACGGGTGGGAGAAGCAGAGTGGCACGGCACATCCCTGGTGCTGGTCAGATAGTCTGGCTGGCTTCCGGTGGAGGGAATGAGGAGGAGCTGCAATCGGGGAGGCCATGATCATCGCGGGCGGGCGTCACGGTTCACAACTGCATATGGGATGTTCTTTTGTTAATCATTTTGTTTTTATTTCCCCCTCTTTGGACCCTTATTCTTGATATTCATTGTTGCGTTGCCTATATACCGAGGCTGCCCTACTATTCCTGTCAGCTAGACGCGGCTCATGTGTTTTGCTTCTCTTCTATTGGTTTTGGCAGTTCTCGATACTTATCTATACCATCCGTGAATTCCAAGTCATCAAGCTTTACCTCTTCACACCCCTGAGGGTGACATCCCATTCCGCGTGTGGTGCACTGCTTAATGTTCCTTGCATGCATGATGACCCTTTGAGATGGGAGTGTTCTATTTCAAAGGGATTGTGTGGCATATGGGCGCATCACATGGGTTCTATGCATATGCACAGAGAATGCAGGCCGAATCCCCGCAAGTTTCCATGTGTGACCAACTAACTTGGACGCAATATTGTCCCAGCTACCCTCGCCAGCTCCGAGGTATCCCGGCCCGGATATTTGCTTTCATGATCGGAGGATTCTAAAAAGAGCAGTTTTCAAGAGCTCTTGAGGAGGAGGAACCCACGGGCTGTTCTGAGAGGCCTTCTGTGTTTGGATGAGCGCAAGGTGTGAGCAGGTCTTCTTTCTCTTTCTTCTCTTCACGCCCGTTCTCTATTATGATTGCGACACACGCACTGAGAAGTTGTTCCACGTTTTCAAGCACCGTTGCCCTATCACGGCGGTTGATCTCATCGTCTCTGAATGTGGCTCAGATACGGGACCCGGCAGTCTGACATACATACATAGGCAGGTAAGCTATCTAACTGTGGACTCCTAGTTGGGCACCACTAATGGGGGAAGAAGGACAATTCTTGAGTGGCTTTTAATAAAGTGCCCCTAGCACCTTCTTAAGCGGGCCAGGCGATCGGATAGCAGAGTCTATCTATCTTTTGCCCCTCCCTCGTGTCCGTCTTCCTCTCTTCATGTGGCCCCACAGCCCACAGCTCATATCAGCAAACGCTTGCCGATTTTCTGTTGTCTTTGCCCATGCAGAGTCCAGTGGTGGTCTTGGCGAGCTCTTTAAAGGCCAATCAGATGGCACCTTGCTGCCAGTCGCTCTGGGTCTCCTCCAGCTGCTGATCGATTCCTGTAGGACGATACGCAAAGCAGGTCGAAAGAGGGGAACTAAGAACCTATGAAGTCTTTCGTGGGGGGTTTCTTTTCTTTTTCCTACGGCGCTTTTTCACCACGCGAGAAGCTGCTGGATTGACTAACGTGCTGTACACACCTGTACACCTTGCCTTGAAGCGGCATGGGACGTGGGGAGTGAAGTTGTATCGGCCAGGCCTGTCTTCATGATTCGTCCGGCTCCATCTTTCCCGTCTTCTCAGCCCATGACAAAGCCGATGGGACCCAGAGCAGAGGCTGCATCTAAGCGGATGGGGGGACAAGAGGGATCACATCATGAGATGAAGAAGTCGAACCCTACATGCAGCCCGTAGGCAAGCTAGAAGGTATGTATGTATGCAGGTAGAAGCACTTTTGCAGCTCGGGCTGCCACCGCGTGCAGCAGCCGGCCGGGGCACCCTCATTGATAAACGTATAAGTGAAGGCTCTCCCACCCCTCTCCTCTCCCGTATTCAGCTGTACGGCTGAGGATCCTTTTTTCCCTTCGAATCTCGCTCTCCCACTCCCCCATTTGAGGCCAATTCAACCATGGCTGCCTCTCTCTGCACACTGAGTCTGCTGCTCATCGCTGGGGCTGTTGCCCAGACCTGCGAGTCCAACCAGCTAAAGGTCTCCTACCCAGCACCCATCGCGGCTGATGGCTGGGAGTACCGCCTCGTCGCTCAGGGCATGAAGAAGCCCCGCAGTCTGCTCTTCGACTCGGACGGCGCCTTGATCGTCCTCGACGCCGGTGTTGGCATCCTCCGCTTTACGCTGCAGGACGATGGCGGTTCTTGTGTCTCTGTTGCCCAGAACGCTACCCTTCTGGCGAATAAAGATGTAACTGGCAAACTTTCTTTAATCTGTGCTTCGAATTGCCCAATTTATTTATCGATTCTGCTGTTTGAATGCAACTGTTATGCCGTTTTTACCCCTCCATATCGGAACCCCCCACCACCACTTTTCTTGATGGTGGGATGGGAGAAGAGGAAACCCCCCGCCAAGCCCAACGACCGCACAACTTTGGAGGTGGAAGATCTCATCACTAATAAATGCATTGTAGCTGAACCACGGTCTTGCTCTCTCTGAGGATGGAAAGACAATCTACGCCTCCAGCCAGGAGGATGTCTACTCGTGGGCCTACGATTCCAAGTCGTCCAGCCTGAGCAGCGACTCTCGCCGCACCCTCATCACCAACATGACCAATGAGGACCACATGACCCGTACCCTCCTCCTCTCCCGCAAGCAGCCCGGGACTCTCATAGTATCCCGTGGCAGCGACGAGGACTCGGATGCCGACGCCCAGGTGCTCAACAACGGCCTCTCCCAGATCCGCAAGTTCGACATTGGCAGCCTCAACGACAAGTCCCGGCCCTTCGACTTCCTCGAAGGCGACGTCCTGGGCTGGGGTCTGCGCAACTCCGTCGGCGTCGCGGAGAACCCCGTCGACGGCGGCATCTGGTCGGTCGAGAACTCGGTCGACGAGGTCACGCGCAACGGCGAGGACATCCAGCTGAACAACCCGGGCGACGAGCTCAACTTCCACGGGTACGTCAACGGCTCGGCCGGCTCCCTGGGCGAGACTGGCGGCAACTACGGCTACCCCCTCTGCTACGCCCTCTGGGACACGGACGGCTTCCCCAACATCGGTGACCTCAAGACCGGCGACCAGTTCCCCGGCGGCAGCATCAAGACGCTGAGCGACGCCACATGCAAGAACGACTATGTCGCTCCCCGCCTCACCTTCCCCGCCCACACTGCTCCTTTGGACATCAAGTTCAACAAGGATGCCACCGTGGCCTACGTCTCTTTCCACGGAAGCTGTACGTCCTGACCTGATAACTATACATACCAACCTAGCCCCCTCCCTGTACACTGACCCGAAAGACAGTCAACCGTAAGCCCCCCGTCGGCTACAGAATCGCCTCCATCAACTTCTCCAACGGCCAGCCCACCTCCGCAAGCGACAGCAGGGACGCCGCCGTCGACGTCCTGACCACCCCGGACCTCGACAACTGCCCCGGCAACTGTTTCCGCCCCGTCGGCATGGCCTGGGACTCCCGGGACCGCATGTTCTTCGCCTCCGACTCCACCGGCGAGGTCTTCGTCCTTAGAAGGACCGACAGCAGCAGCACCAGCTCCGGGAACGGCAGCAACGATAGCGCCGGCGCGTCACTCTTCGTGCCTAGGATGGTCGTCGCCGTCGGTGCCGTCGTCGCCGGTCTTCTCCTGGCATGAGTTATGACATGTATGATTATGACGAGAAGTGTGACGTCGCATTTAATGGATATGATAACGACTGTCTTTTTCGTGCTTTGTCTTTCATTTTATGACCTTCGTTTGTACGCTCGGTTTAGCAAAACGTCTATGACAGAAAAAAAGAAAAGAAAACGCCAAACAGCAGAATGGAGCGCTTGAAAAGCTTGCATGATATCCGTAACATTTGAGGCAAAAGTCTTTGAAAATTGATGAAGCAATCATTTCTCCTGATACTGGCTCTTTGCAGCACGCGCGGTATTGGCATAACTTCTACAATTGGGTTGAGGACGTGTCTTGCCCCGTATTATCCCTGAACTAGAATGTAATTAGAACAAACAAAGGTTATGCCAGTTTTCGTGCCTTGAAACGCCAAATGCTCTAGCAGTTAGTTCTACGTACCATCAATCCTAAATAAAAACACCGCCCGTCCATTCTCGGCTCTCTATCTATTCCTCAATCGTCTTGAAGGTCTCCCACTCGCCCCTGAGGTTCTCTTTCCACAGAGTCACCTTGTTATCTGCGCCGCTGACGGCAAGGACGTTGCCGCTCAGAGACCAGCTTACGCGCCACACGGGGGCATCGAAGTTGAGAACCTTGGATTCCCACTGGCCGGTTGTGTTGGGCTCAGATGTCCAGATACGGACTGTCTTGTCCTGAGATGCGCTGGCAATGTAGGATTTGTGGAGGACGGTTGGTGACCAGGCAACGTCGCGAACCCAGTCTGAGTGGCCGGTAAGAGCCTCGCCCTCTTGCTTGTAGTTCTGAGTGGCCGCATCAAAGGACCACACCTTGAGGACGTTGTCGCACCCACCAGTGACAAAGCGTCTGTTGCCAACGGCGCCAGGGCCGGGGTTGCTGCTGGCAATGCTGCCGGGGGCGAGGGCAGGAGCCCATGAGACCGAGTTCACGCCCAAACCATGGGCGGGGAACAGGACGTGATCGATCGCGTTATCCTTGAACTCGAGAACAGAGACGGTACCGTCGGAGGAAGCGCAGGCAAGCAGACAGCCGGCCTCATGGGGTGACCAGGCGACGATGTTGACTGAAGCCTTGTGGTGGGGGGAGTCGTAGATACGCTGCCACTGGGTGCTTTGTTGGGTGCCCTGTTCCTTCCAGATAAAGACCTTGCCGTCGTAACCTGCCGACGCCAAGATGTTGCCGTACTTGGGATGCGCCCATGCTACACACCAAACTGCACCCTCATGTCTAAGATTCGTCCCGTTAACTTCTTATCCAATACTATCCATGTATAGCCGTGTGGTGCACATATGGGGGCAGGGCTGGCTTGGTGTTGGTAAGGGGGAGCTACCTACCCCTTGAGGGTCTCAATTAATCGTTGGGATTCGCCATCGATCTCGAATATCTTGATTGTTCGGTCGCTGGAGCAAGTCGCCAGCTTTCGGCCGTAGTAGTCTAGAACGGCATCATGCTACTCCAATCAGTCGTCAAGCTTCTATTGCGTTGCATGGTTGGCAGTGAAACATACAATCATATCATCATGGGTCGAGTTCGAAATAACCTGGGTCGCCTAGAGAGCCATGTTAGTCAACAAACGTATTTATACTGGCGGTCACCCGTCCTGAGGAAAGAAAGCTGCCCCGACACACAACAGGGCTCTGCTCGAGTGGCGCGAAACGTACCATTTTGAAAGATGCGGCACCAATTCACCTTGATAATGGTAAACGCGAAAGTGGACCGCCTTGAGCTTCGAGGAGAGTGGTGATCTGGCCTGGTGCTAGTCAGATCTGCCAGCATGCCACTTGGAGCTATCGATTGGGTAGGCTGCATTGCGTTGGTGCCACAGCGGTCGCCACCATTGTCCCCAATCACGTGACCGGATAACTTTGCTCTCAGGGGAAAGAAGCATGAGGCCAGAGCCCCGCCTGCCCCAAAGCCAAATGCATCATCAGGCCAAAGGTACGTACCAGAACGTGCGTCTCCAGCTTGGAGGTTCCTCGGCGTCGGAATCTTTGCCGGGCTTGATTCGGCATATGATCACAAGCACAAGCCCGCATCTCAACGTCGACACTCTCTTCCCCAATTGCAACGTTTCCTTTTTTCAATCTAGTCCCATACGCTTGCCTTTATTTCTTCTAGCTAGTATAAGACATTCTATCCGACGGATTCCATCCCGACTTTCTTGCGCTCCACCTACTTTATGTCCCAGATATAAAGACCCCGTCCTCTCTGACCCTTCCCTTGGCCCCGCCGTGACGCCGAGGCTACAGTTTGTCGCCGTTATCGCCCTTCTCTAAGCTTCTCTCTGTCGAGCCACGATTCCGAACTGTCGCTGTGGCAGCGCGCATAGTGAGAAATGGCGGAAGCGTCTTGCAGCGGCGGGACGCCCTTCAAGCGGTTCGTCGACCAGCAGAACCGCGATGTCAGCCATCACCAGGACCGCCTCTTTCATAACTCATTCTCCCCAGCCCAAAATGTAGGTGGTTCTCATCGTCTTCCAAATACCTGGGTGCTCAAGCTAAGAAAGCGCCATATATAGTCATTTAGATCATCACCAGCCAATCAATCAGCACAGATCCAGAATGACTTCGGCGCATTCATGAATGGCAGCTCATCACAGTTCGGGAGTGCGCCCCTCCAGCATCCTCACCATGTTACTGGAATGCTACCAGGACACCCGCAAGCTTTCGAGTCCAGGTGGCATCCTTCAGCCCCGTCGTCACAGGTCGAGATGGCGCAGCAGCCGAGGTCAGCAGACATGAGCAACTGGGCGGCCGACTTTACTCGTTTCTCCGGCCAGCAACAGGCCCCAGCTCACCCCATGGCGGTCAACGGTGCGGCGCAACCTCTAGCACATATGCAATCAAATCACCAGGCTCCGGCATTAAATTTCCAATCAGCCTTCCAGTTTCCCAACGCCGGCTTCTCGCCGCTCTACGGCCCGACCAATGGAGGGTTGATGGATCCCAATGCGGCGGCGGCACAGCGGCCCGCTGCCGAGGCCGACTTCGACCAAGAAATGTCTCGTTGGATGGAAGCGAATGGCCCAGTGTCGAATGCTAAAGCCATGGAAGATGTTGATGCCATCATGGAGCAAATGGCCCGCGAGCTGGACATGAACGACGGGGCTTTCAAGGATACGGAAACCGCCGCGCCGCTTCATCAAGACCCTCGTTTCACGGACCTCGAGACACCAGAGATCCGGAACCTCACGCCGGATACCCTATCCCAAACGATAAACAACGAGCCACAAGCCGAGCAAGTCAAGCCGCGATCGGAGATATCAGAAGCAGCAGAGAAGCTGCTGGATACCGTGCAAAATGAACAGGGAGAAAAGTGGAAGAACTCTGTATTTCTATCTCTGATGCGGGACTTCAGAGATGGAAAGAAAGACATCGTCGATAATGAAGTTCAAGTTATGCCCTACCCGAGCGCAGAGGAGACAGAGGGCGGCCTTTGCCACCCTCACTAAGCCGATCTCTCGGCATTTCTCATTCCATGCAGTTGAAAGGTTTTACAACTCTTTTACATAAGCTCATCCCATCGGCTTTGCCTGCAATTGTGGGGAGCCCTAAGCGCATAGAGGGACTCCAGACTCGCCTCTACTGCTCGAAGTATATATAAAAGGGGACCACGTGTTGCTCTCCGCGAGTCTTCATAGACTGTAACGTATTATGAATGGTTATCATTAGAGTATCATACGGAAGGGGCCGGGCGGCATTATTACTGTGTCTTATATACATATTCGGGCACCAACAACTGGACACGCCAATTTTTGGTGTAGCGTTAATGCGTGGGTTCTATCGGACTACACAGGCATATAAATATCGTCAATGCATTCTTATTTTAGCGTTCCTTCAATTGAGAACTGGAGTGGTTTTGGCTTTGACGTATCAGAGGGTGATGTACTCGAATGACGATGTACCTGGGCAGAATCGACCTGCTCCTTGAATATCTTGACCGACTTCGGAGCACGTCTCCGGTCCAAAACAGTTCCCTGGCTAAACATTCGTTTACCAATTGTGCCAAAAATGTCGTCGGCGTATCAACAACACACCTCACTTTTTAAGTCAACCGTCACAGTTATAATAATACGTAGTTATCAATTTCCAAAGGTTATACAAGTGTGGTGATCAACATTCCGTGAAATTCGTCTAACTGCTATGATATATCCATTCAACGAGTCATTTCTGCCCCCCCTCCTTGATATCAACAAAAAAATAGAATAGCAAACAGGCTATAGTTTCCGCCAGCCCCAACCAGCAACAAGAGTTTTTACCCGTTCAGCGATAATAAAATAGAAAAGAAACAGAATAGTGGGCAAACCCCGTTCGCGGGGTGATAGCCAGAGGTCGTGGACTAGGGAAATATAAAAAGTCAAGTGATATGCCACGCGCCATGCCAACCAAACGCCTAACCCCCCCTTTTACATAAAGCCACTAGTAGGGGGGGCGAAGAAGACTTGATCTTGTTGTGTCAAGTATAATGTGCACAGTAATAAGCCTCAGGCTTGCGAACCCAACCATAAAGATACAAGGGCCATCGATAAAGAGTTCCTGAACTCGTCTACCCAGTCGACAGCCACGTAGGTTGCTCGGAAAATGCAGATTCAACGCCAATGCCTAGCCACATTGCCAGAATAAAAGCAGGCCGCTCTACTCCTTTGATCGGAGCGAGGTAAGAAGTAACGCCAATATGATGATGTTTTCTCTGGCTTAGGTTGACCACCATAGGCAGCCACAGTCAGTCAACTCCAACGTTTCCCGACGTCGGAGTGTCAGGCCGTCCATATCCCGTCTGCTAGGATGGCGACTTCTTTCTCTCGCAGCGAGTTGCTCCTGCCACGTGCTTTGACGCTCGCTGATGAACACCACAACTGGTAGCCCATCCTTGTCGAGAATCTCTCGTTTATCTTTGCCTTTGTTGATAATCTCATACTGTCGGCACGTTGCTGCGGTCTCTTCGTCTTCAGAATCTATGATTCGGCGCTCAAGAAGCTTGACCACTTGTGGATACGCAGG